TATATGTGTGTATATATATATGTATATATGTGTGTATATATATATGTTTATATGTGTCTATATATATATGTTTATATGTGTCTATATATATGTATATATGTGTGTATATATATATGTATATATGTGTGTATATATGTATGTATACATGTGTGTATATATGTTTATATGTATGTATATATGTTTGTATACATGTATATATGTATGTATACATGTATATATGTATGTATACATGTATATATGTATGTATATATGTATATATGTATGTATACATGTATGTATGTATATATGTATGTATCTATGTATGTATATATGTATACATGTATATTTATGTATATATATGTGTATGTATGTATATATGTATACATGTATATATATGTATATATATGTGTATGTATGTATATATGTATGTATGTATGTATATATGTATGTCTACATGTATATTTGTATGTATATATGTATATATATGTATACATGTATATGTAGCCCATTTCCTGCACACGCCTGTGCACGGTGGCTCTGGAATCGGCCCTTCTCCACAATCCTCCTCAGGATCCGGTCACCTCTTCTCGTTGTGCAGCGTTTTCTGCCACACTTTTCCCTTCCCACAGACTTCCTTCTGATGTGCCTTGATACAGCACTCTGGGAACAGCCTATTCGTTCAGCAATTTCTTTCTGTGTCTTACCCTCTTGCTTGAGGGTGTCAATGATGGCCTTCTGGAGAGCAGTCGGGTCGGCAGTCTTACCCATGATTGTGGTTTTGAGTAATGAACAAGGCTGGGAGTTTTTAAAAGCCTCAAGAATCTTTTGCAGGTATTTAGAGTTACGTCGTTGATTCAGATGGTTAGGTTAATAGCTTGTTTAGACAACCTTTTCATTATATGCTAATTTTTTGGGACAGGCATTTGGGGTTTTCATGAGCTGTATGTCATAATCATCAATATTTAAACAATTAAAGACCTGAAATATTTTAGTTGGTGTTCAATGAATCTGAAATATATGAAAGTTTCATTTTTATCATTGCATTATAGAAAATATTGTCCTTTATCACAATATGCTAATTTTTTGAGAAGCACCTGTACACGTAACCTCAAAATATAAATTTCTTTCATTGGTCAAACATGTATTTATATATTTTATTTATACAGTGCTAATGATCAGCACAGTAACTACCCCCCAACCCCCATAATGAACACATTACATCTTCTACATGTTTCCAAAATAAACAGCACATTTTCCTACTAACAGGATGAGTTCTGTTTGTTAAACAGAAAACCAACCACTGACCTGCAGGTTTCCTCTCTCCTGTTTGAACTGCTGCCCTCTTCTGGGCCGGACCATTAAGACCACTTGTTTTACTCAGAAACTGCTCTTTAGTCTTTAGTGTGTTGAAGGTATTTTGTCTAGCAACATGGAATCCAGGACTACAGGAGCCCAGCGACCAGAAAGTTTCATATATGTTGTTTTTTTATAGTTCTGAAGCATTTGTTCCTTTTTGCTCGTCTTTATGTTCAGACAAGTCCGAGGATGATGTTGAGAGGGAATCTCAGCTGCTGGAGTGTCGTCTGACCCTCACTGAAGAACGAAATGCTGTTCTAGTCCCATCAGCAGGAAGTGGCATCCCTGGAGCGCCGGCGGAGAGGTGCGTGTCTTCCTGTTTTACTCTGTGAGGACTTCTGCTTTGTCTCCGGCCATGCTGGAACTAGTAGACCTGAAGGGACTCGGATTTAGCGAGGCTAAATGTAATCAGAGACCGTTGCCAGGTTTAAGGAGCTCCACACTGAACAGCAGTCTTGTTCTTACAAGGAGCTGCATTTTTCCTCAGGAGGACATTAATTTTTTTCAGACTGTGGTCAGACATCGAGCCTTCTTTAAAACAAACAGCCGAGGCTGGTGTTCAGACTGTCATTGGTCTTCTTTCTTCAGCTGAGGCTTGACTCAAAAACAGCTGAAGGAGAGATGAAACCTCCTAAGATGAGAGAAAAAGTCCAGCTTCTTCTAGATCTTTTCTACTCATGTCTTGACAGAATCTTTGACATGTTGCCGACTCCTGAACAAAACAAGAATGTTGAAGCTCAGACTGAACAGAGGTTAAACTACTCCAAATAATTAATTTTAATTAATTAATTAGACGTTTCTCAGGTGAGCAGTCGTGGCATTTTAAGGTCTTGTTTTGCATTTCATTTCAATTTCAAGGATCTTTATTATCCTCTACGAGCAATTTGTTCTGCAGGCAGCAGTCTAAAACATGGACATTAATCGTGTCGAGTCTCTGAGTCTGTTGGTCCTGATTGTGGGCAGCAGATCTCTGTGCTTTATTCACGTCTGAAGACTTTTTGACTAAAGTGAGAGCAATGAAAGAACTGGTCTACAAAGTTGTCCCAGATCCAAATGATTTCTGTTTGATCAGAACCTGATCTGAACACTCGTCAAGTCTATGACTCGTGATAAAAACTACAAATGTGTTTTTTGGGGGGTTCCGGTTCTGCTAGCAAGAGGATGGCAGCCTAATTAGTGAGCTCCCGATGGAGTTTTATAAAAACAAATCCCCCTAAGGTATTATTTTTTTGTTAACATCAGTTATATTTGTCTAGATGAAAAAGGGGGGTGGGGGTTTTTCCAGAAGCAGGAAAAATACCCATTTGTTGGAGGAAGAGACTATAATGAGTCAGGATGATCAAGGCAACTCCCTGGAGTTAAGCCGCCCAGCCGTCAACACACCTGAGCCCAGCTTGCAAAGTATTTTTGAACTTCATGACTTCAGAAGAGATAACAACATCCAACTGGAGGACGTTAAACAAGAAATAAAGGGTGTGAATGACCGATTGGATGAAGTGGAGGGCAGAATAGAAGAAACGGAGACGGTGCTGCAAACGGCATCTGTATTAATTAAGGGACTGGCACAGCGCCAAGCTAAGCTGGAAGCCAGACTCAGAACAGGAGGGGCGCGCACGAAGGGAGAATCTGCGGATTTACGGGATACCTGAAGACAAGGAGGTTCTATTTTTGGACATCTTGTTTAAACAAACGCTGGACCTCCCTGACGACCAGAACCTGGTATTTGAACGTGCACATCGAACACTGACTCAAAAGCCAGTGAGCGCACAGGGGAAACCCAGATCCATAGTGGTAAAGTTTGGCAATTACCGCATAAAAGAGGAGATTCTTCGGAGAGTCTGGCAGAAAAGAGAAGTATTCTGCAATGAAACACATTTTTTTGTTGACCATGACTTTCCCACTGAAGTGTTTAGAAAACGTAATGAATATGCGGATGCCAAAAAAGTTTTGAAAAGTGAACGCATCAGGTTTCAGACCCCGTATCCAGCGAAGATGCAGGTGTTTTTTAACAATGGAGTTCGACTCTACCAGGACGCAGCTGAAGCGACAAGAGATATGGCTACTCGTGGGTTTCCACTCACCATAATAACATCTGCAGCGGCCCTGGATCATGAAGAGATGCAACTCCTGTCTTCATGGCAGAAGGTGAGGAGACGACATGTGAGGAGCGAGGACCAGGACCCTGGTCCAGCAGGTGACAACAGGCAGAAAAATCATCAAGCACAAATAAAGGAAAAGCTTCAGGAATTCAGAAGATCTACAAACTTCAAGGTCACACTACAAAGTCAGCTAAGTTTCTTTCCTCTACTGTTGTTCTACCAGAGGTATTTAAATTATCCTAATTAAGTGTTCCTGCTTCTTTTTAGTGACTCTAATTAAGAGTCGGGACAGCCGGATTATGACCATGCCTAAGTTTTTTATTTTATTTGTACCACCAAATCTTGCTAGTGTGTGGACATTATTTAGGGCCACACCTCCACAACGGACCAGTGTGACATTTCCCTACTGGGACCTGGACTGCACAAGGCCCTGCAGGGCTCTTGATAAGAGCCTCTACCTTGGAAACACCTATCTTGTTTTATTTTCATAATTATAATGTTAATTTTGTTTACTGTTTGTTTTGTTTTGACACATATTATGAGAGAGATTTGTTTGTGCAAACATTTTATGAAACTGGATACTGTGGGAGAGGTTTTCTGTATTAGGATCAGAGTAGAAAAGTATGAATATGCAGGACATTAAGATAGTATCACTTAATGTGAAAGGTATTTCAAACCCACTCAAGAGAAGTAAAATAATATCAAAAATGAAGCGGGAAAATGCCCAGATCGTCCTTCTATAAACCGGATTCCAAAAAAGTTGGGACACTAAACAAATTGTGAATAAAAACTGAATGCAATGATGTGGAGGTGCCAACATCTAATATTTTATTCAGAATAGAACACAAATCACAGATCAAAAGTTTAAACTAAGAGAAGGTATCATTTTAAGGGAAAAATCTGTTGTTTCCAAATTTCATGGCGTCAACAAATCCCAAAATAGTTGGGACAAGTCCATTTTTACCACTGTGTGGCACCCCCCCCCCCCTTCTTACAACACTCAACAGACGTCTGGGGACAGAGGAGACCAGTTTCTCAAGTTTAGAAATAGGAATGCTCTCCCATTCATGTCTAATACAGGCCTCTAACTGTTCAATCGTCTTGGGCCTTCTTTGTCGCACCTTCCTCTTTATGATGCGCCAAATGTTCTCTATAGGTGAAAGATCTGGACTGCAGGCTGGCCATTTCAGTACCCGGATCCTTCTCCTACGTAGCCATGATGTTGTGATTGCTGCAGAATGTGGTCTGGCATTATCGTGTTGAAAAATGCAGGGTCTTCCCTGAAAGAGATGACATCTAGATGGGAGCATATGTTGTTCTAGAACCTGAACATATTTCTATGCATTAATGGTGCCTTTCCAGACATGCAAGCTGCCCATGTCACAAGCGCTCATGCAACCGCATACCATCAGTGATGCAGGCTTCTGAACGGAGCGTTGATAACAACTTGGGCTATCCTTGTCCTCTCTGGTCCGGATGACATGGCGTCCCAGTGTTCCACAAAGAACTTCAAATCATGACTCATCTGACCACAGAACAGTCTTCCATTTTGCCACACTCCATTTTAAATGACCCCTGGCCCAGTGCAAACGTTTGAGCTTGTGGAGCTTGCTTAGAAATGGCTTCCTCTTTGCACTGTAGAGATTCAGCTGGCAACGGCAGATGGCACGGTGGATTGTGTTCACTGACAGTGCTTTCTGGAAGTATTCCTGAGCCCATTCTGTTATTTCCTTAACATTGGCATTCCTGTTTGAGGTGCAGTGACGTTTAAGGCCCCGGAGATCACGAGCATCCAGTAGAGTTTTACGGCCTTGACCCGTATGCACAGTGATTGTTCCAGATTCTCTGAATCTTTTGATGATGTTATGCACGGTTGATGATGAAAACTTAAAAGTCTTTGCTATTTTATTCTGGGTAACACCATTCTGGTATTGCTGCACTATCTTTCTGCGCAACAATGGTGGAATTGGTGATCCTCTTACCATCTTGGCTGAAGCTCTTTTTATACCCAATCATGTTGTCAATTGACCTAAATAGTGTTAATTGGTCTTCCAGCTTTTCGTTATATGCTCAATTTCCTTTTTCCAGCCACTTATTGCTACTTGTCCCAACTTTTTTGGGATTTGTTGACACTGTGAAATTTTGAATCAACATATTTTTCCTTTAAAATGTTACATTTACTCAGATTAAACTTTTGATCTGTCATCTATGTTATATTACAAATAAAATATTGACATTTGCCATCTCCACATCATTGCATTCAGTTTTTATTCACAATTTGTTTAGTGTCCCAACTTTTTTGGAATCTAGTTTGTACTTGTATAGTGCCTTTCTATCCTATTGAGATACTCGAAGCGCTTTACACTACAATCTGTGCCCTCATTTACCCATTCATACAGCACTCTACTAGTTCTCTACAAAGCTAATTGAACAAATCATTCTAAAGAGACTAACCAGTGCTTTATCACATTCATACACCAATGGTACACACATTGAAGGCAACGAGGGGTTCATTGTCATGCCCAGGGACACTTCGGCATGTGATTGCTGGTGGATTCGAACCCCCAACTCTTGCATTGGAGAACGACTGCTCTAACCACTCAGCCACAGCCGCCCCTTGGTGGATGGTCCTGGAGAGTACCTCTTTAGTCATTCAGGTTAGATTTCTGGTCACGTGATGACAGAGTGGGTGGAGTTATGGATGGTTGGGTATAGGCCCTTTTCACAATGACGTCAGACAACTTCCTTTTTGACTCGATGCTGTGGATCATTACTTCCGGGTCTATTCTCCCTCGGGAGACCTGTCTGGAAACTTAAGGGAACTTCATTCATTCACCCTTTATTTAAAGAGGTTAAATTACAAGATACAGCGCAAGGTAAGGTTAATAAAAACAGTATTTATGT